ACTTCTAGCCTCTTTCATTCTAAAATGGATTTCTCAAAACTATCAGTCTCTCTCGCCAAACCAGAAGTAGAGCCTTCCGAAAAATACATCAGAAAGCCGACTCCATTTGTCAAGATAAGTCCAAAGTCAGGAGATTACTCAAGATTCATCTTAACTGATACATCATACCGATTCAAAATTGATGAAAAATGGTACAACTCTGTTATAAATTACCTAGCGATCAACAAGGATTTGAAAAATATCCAATTTGATGATATTCTTACTGGATATTTAGCCAAGTTCAGAGCTTGCTGGGAATTGAAGCGTATGTTAATCGCTACAGGTAATAGTGTTTTAATATATTGTGACCCTGAAGATAATGCACTATCTTGTGGATTTGCTGCTGATGACACAAATGCTGACAAACCACATACTTGGACAGGAAAAAATCTTCTCGGATACGTATTAATGCAACTGCGATGTGAGCTCAAGGAAGACTGGAAGGCGGAAAACTTGTCTGCAGATGGTAATGTCATCAAACGGAAAAAAGCTAACGAATGAACTTTTTTCATTATATAAAGAATATAAAAAAATGTGAATGTTAATATTCAATCGATAAGTTAATGAATAAATAAATCATGGTTTCAGAAGATAACTTGTATTTTACTTTTATTCACCCTTTCACTTGTATGGTCGCAGGACCAACATCAAGTGGTAAGACTGTACTTGTAAAGTCATTAATTGATAATCATAGATTCACATTTTCCAAACTCAAACCACATCCTAAGATTATATGGTGTCATGGACAGATGCAGGAAGGCTATAGTAAAAATGATAGTATAATTGAATATCATGAAGGTTTAGTTGAGGATCCTAGTAATTATGATTTGATTGTTGTTGACGATCTTATGAATGAATTGGCAGGAGATAATAGACTTTTAAATTTATTTACTAAAGGCAGTCATCATCTCAACATTAGTGTTATATTCATAGTTCAAAACATTTTCCACCAGGGTAAACATATGCGTGGAATAAGCTTAAACTGTCAATACTTAGTTATGATGAAAAATCCTAGAGACAAATCACAGATACACTGTTTAGCCAGACAAATTTACCCAACTAAGAGCGCAAGACTGATAAAAGCGTATGAAGATGCAACCAAGCAGCCGTTCAGCTATTTAAAGATCGATCTTACTCCAAGAACTCCAGATCACTTGAGAGTGCAGACCAACATAGTTCGAAAGGAAGCCAAACACAACATCACTATTTATGAAATATGATTTCACAAGAGTTATCAGATTGTTTACCTATTATTCACCTTTACATGAAGCTTAAAGGGAAAAAGCTACGACAAGACTTTTTAGCTGATCAATATAAACAGGACTCAAAAATATATAAGGCGGTCCATGAGATTGTTATGAATGTCGTACACCAGAACCTACCTCTCTCTGATGATGTCAAACCAAAGTTGCGAAGACACAAGCGCGCAATAGTTGATTTTATCCACGATAAAAATAAAAAGAGACATAGAAAACATCTGGTACAATCTGGCGGATATCTTCACTATCTGATTCCTGCTGCTATACAATTGATAAATACGATATTATCAAATGGAAGTAATAAAGAAAATTTACCAAATGAATGATACTGAGACCTCTCAATTACCGATGAAAGGCTCGGGGATTGTAACAAGTAAAACTCCATATGATAAAATAAAATTAATTACTCATGTAGCGCTAAAATTTGCATTACGTAATTATTACGACGCTAATAATAGACTGTTATTTAACGATAAAGTCATACTTGATAGTGATTTAATTGATCTTATAGCCTCCCTCACAAACCAGAGTAAACTTCCTAAATACATTAATGAATTTTTATTCTTACTTAAAAGATGCGATGTAGATCCGTCGCTGATAAAAAATGATAAAATAAGAAGAAAACTCAAACATATGACAATAAGTAAAACCAATTACCCACCTGATCAAATTTTCGAACCAAATGTGTTAACAAATATACAAAGAAACGCTGATTATTATGTAAAGGAGATGAAAGAAAACCTCAAACAAAAACCTAGGAAAAAACTACAAAAAACTCCAAACAAAAAAGCTAAAGCTGAAGTTATTACACCAGCAGATAAACAATATCAGAAAAGAATATACAACCTCAGATCATATGGAAATTGGACAATCCCAAAAGAAAATACTTTCCAACATCTATTACCAACCGAATAATCCAGCAGGCTTCGCTTCTTCATTAAAACTTTTCAATGCGGCTAAGAAAGAGAGTCCTAGTCTAACACATGAGCAGGTTAAGAGATGGTTGAAAAGCCAACTCACGTACACTCTACATGCTCAAGCTAGAAGAAAGTTCGTAAGAAACCCTATTATCGTTAGTAAAATAGATGAACAATGGGAGGCTGATCTTGTTGAAATGCAAGAATTTTCGCGCCAGAATAACGGCCAGAAATATATTTTAACAGTGATTGACTGTTTCAGCAAATATGCTTGGGCGCGTGCACTTCCAAATAAATCAGCAAAGTCCGTTACTGATGCTTTCAAAGAGATTCTTTCTACACGGACCCCCGAAGCTTTACGAACTGATAAGGGGAAGGAATTCATTAACAAAACATTTCAAGATCTTCTTACATCAAAAAACATAAGGTATTATTCATCAAACAATCCAGATATAAAATGTGCAATAGTTGAAAGATTCAATAGAACTCTAAAAACCCGGATGTTTCGGTATTTCACTTCAAAAGGGACAAGAAAATTCATTGATGTATTGCAACAGTTAATAACTGCTTATAACGGTAGTTTGCATAGATCAATTGGGGTTGCACCAAAAGATGTGAATGATGACAACTCGGCTTCTATTTTCAAAAAGCTTTATGGAAAAACATCATTACGGGAAATTTATCAAAAAACACCCACAACACACAAGATTAAAATTGGTGATGAAGTACGGATGAAATATAAGATAGGTCCTTTCGAAAAAGGATTCTATCCAAATTGGACTGATCATGTATACAAAATTTCTGCAATAGATAAAGCAAGTAAAAAACCAATTTTCACACTTGATGGTTATGATGGGACGAAAATAGAGAATAGAAAGTTTTACGAAGAAGAACTACAAAAGGTTCACGCAGAGGTACATCGTATTGAGAAAATATTAAAAAGACGATTATATAAAGGAAAGCCACAATACTTTGTTAAATGGTTAGGATATCCCTCAAGTTACAATTCATGGATAGATGCAACAGCAATAACAACAATATCACAATAATGAATGCGGAAATGTTCACATTTACAATGCAAATTCTCACCCTTTTTTGTGTAGTCATTGCTTCACTTCTCAATCTTTCTCTTGGGATGGGAGATCAGAAATTATGGTTAACTTTGCTTACAATGTCTCTTGGATGTATACTTCCAACTCCAAAATTCTCGAAAAAATCTTCATTGATAAGTCGTAATGCAAGTGATGGTGATATAAAGAGGTCGATTAATATTTAAGTGTTTCGATTCATTATTTAAATAAAAATGCCTAATTCATTTTATGTTTCATTACCTAGTAATGTATTTTCTTATGAAAAAAATAAAATTTCTGATTATACAACATATCTTCCAAAACCGTTAAATTTATCTGATGATTATCACGTGGCTCTAACAGAATTAACATACACAAAGAGTTGGTATAATGTCCAACAAAACTCAACCTTCACGCTTCATGACACTAGGTCAATTATATTACAGAAACCAGGAATATCACCTGGTTGGTATAAAAACATTCATGATTTGATAAAAGCAATCAACGATAAAATTGACTTTTTATTCGAACAAGATAAGTACTTACAACCCAAACTGGTTCTAGATGAGCATAGTCAAAAGGTGGAAATGAAATTCGGACGGACAAGCGATGGAGTGCCAATGTTGGTTTATCTAGGAAATGAGTTGGAGGAAATGCTTGGTTTTTCTAGTACAAACGCAATGAATATCACTGATGAGAATGTGTCTATCGTACCATTAATTAGTGATAGATACATAAGTATGCAGAGTAAAAGTCCAGAAAGGCTGTTTGATATTAAAGGAGGAATTCATTCACTGATGGTCTATAGTGATATTGTATCACATTCAATTGTAGAAATACTCAAGCTAATTTTTGATCCGCTCGAATAGATGATAATGTTGAATTCGGATCTGATATTAATTTAATTTTCAAAACCATATTATTTTCCTGTTAATTCAGGCTTCATTGATAAAATAAAATTAATATAAAGGATGATTCAGGAATCCTCTAAATTTCAGTTTGGGAGAGTTTCAGTCACTTTGCATTTCAAAAAGACATGGAAAGCTATTATTTAGACCAAGCAGGCAATGGAACTGCAATTCAATCTTTCTCAGGAGTACGTTATCAACGAGGTGGCGGTTTTTTCAGTAGACTTTTTACAAGTAAAGTTTTGCCTATACTGCGTTACTTGGGAGATAAAGCCCTGGACACTGGAAAGGCTATTTTAAATGATGTGAAAACTTCTGCGACCAATAGAATCATTGATACTGTTCAAGAAGTAGCTCAAGAGGCTATAAAAAGAAAAGCGGAAAATACAGAAGGTCAGTCTGGCGCAGGTATAAAAAGGAGAAAGTTGACGAAAAGATCTTACATAGCTGATTATAGTTTTTTAAAATGACCACTCAAAGCAAATATTCAAAAGAGGCTGTCCTTTCTGAATTGGATCTCTTCACGATACCACCTGTTCAAAAATCTATTGAGAGAAGCTATGAAGTACAATACAGACCAATATCATCTCTCGACTCCACAAAATAATAGAGTTCTCAATTCCTACATCTAAAGATGAGTATATTCTTCTTCATGAAACGTATTTTACGTAAAATTCAACTCAAAATACGAAAAGCAGATGATTCTGCATTAAGCATTCAAGACTGGGAAACTGTAACACCAGTAAATAATTTACTTCATTCAATGATAAAACAAGTTGAACTTGAAATCGGAGGAAGGAGGTAACCATGTCTAACTCAACATACGCTTATAGAGCCTATATCGAAAACATGTTAGGTTTTCAGCTGATGCTAAAACTCACACTTGTCGAGTTGTTTGTGGATGGAGAATGCAACGAGGAGACGATCATTGTTCACCCGAGAAGTTTCGCAGATGCTAGCAGTAAAGAAGTTGATCTTTATGGTCGTTTACATTTTGACATGACATTTCAAGGCAAGGCTATACTTGGGGGTAAAGATATTAAAGTGAGAATCTTAACTCACGATCCTTCATTTTTCGTGCAATTTGATGATAGAGTCAGTGATGTTGCAATGATTATTAAGGATGCATGTCTATATGTTCATAAAATGAAGGCTACACCTCAACTTACAAACGCACACTCAAAAGCTCTGGCTATTGCACCCGCATGCTATCCTATCTCTAGGGTTGATTTAAGACAGGCTTCTATCCATGCAAACTCTCTTGACGCGGTTCTAGATAATATAATTACCGGACAACTTCCTCGAAGGTTATTTTTGTTAATGGTTAAAAACACAGCATTTAATGGTTCTAAGTCTCAAGATCCATTCCACTTTGACCATTTTAACGTTTCACATGCAGCTTGTTACGTTGATGGTGTACAATTCCCAACAAATGCATTTCAACCTGACTTCAAAAATCATTTATGTGTACGAGAGTACTCCGGTTTATTTCAAGCAATGAATATGAACTCTACTGACACGACAGTAAATATTACTAGAGAAGAATTCATTTCTGGAAAAACAATTTTCGCTTTCAACTTTGCTCCAGATTTGTCACATGGCCCTGGTATGACTGGACATATTAACCCTATTAAAGAGGCTCGTTAAGAGTTCAGTTGAGATTTTCTGAACCATTAAGAGAACCATAACTGTACTACTTTATTGTGAGTTTGATAATATCATCGAAATAGATCTAGAACGTAATGCTGTAACTGATTTCAAGTAAAAACAAGAAAATGATTGATTATGAAATAAAGAAAGCTTTCATCTTATAATAAATTTTAGGATGTTTTGCGAGAGATAAAATACCTTCAATAGTTGAATACCCATCATTTATTATCGTCAATACAGACAAATCATCTGATCGTGGCACTCATTGGGTAGCTACGATTTACAGCGAGAGAATGTGAATACTTTGACTCATTTGGTTTACCTCCTTTGCATCAGGAAATGATTAATGCTGTAGGCTCTCGAAAAATGTTGTGGAATGGACGTTGTTTGCAACATCCATCTTCACGAACATGTGGAGAGTTTTGCATAGCGTTTGTGAAACTACGCTCTTTCCATTTTTCATTCATAAGATTCATAAAATATTTTTCTAGCGATACAAAGTCTAATGATAAAAAAGTGAAAAGTATAAGTGCTGATGAATGGGATATAAATTGTCAGTTGCATAACGAAAATGAATGAGGTGACATATCCACGAATTACGAATATGGTCGTTGCTTTTTCTCTACCTTTTCAAATTAACTTAAATCAGCTGGCAAATATTTATCCGCAAACTGATTACCGACCTAAAAGATTCAATGGAGCTATAATTAAGAGAAAGATAAATTGTTTACTAGTATTTCGAAACGGAAAAATAAATGTCGTTGGAAGTAAAAGTTTGGAGGATGCAGAAGATGCTGTTAATGAATTGTGTTCATATTTACATCAGAAAAAAGAATATACTAGCAGAATAGTTAACATTGTTGCCGCTTGTGGATTAGGTCAACCAATTGTTTTAAACGACCTAGCAAAGAATGGGTTTCGAATATAACCCTGAGATATACCCAGCTGCTTACTATGTTATTGGTAAAGCTAAAATATCAGTTTTTCATACAGGAAAACTCATTTTCACAGGATTTACAAACTTTGTAGACATATTGAATTCTTTTGATGAAGTTAATTTATTAATAAAAATGATAATATAATTTTTAAAATGAAAAAATAAGTTTTTATTTAATTAATATATTTTAATCGACATATATGCGTGATTGTCGATTTACAAACTGGACAAGCGTCAATTTGCGATGCACAATCAGTGCAGGAGATCACATGGGGCGAACACTGTGCCTATTTCTTTATCGAGGCATATTTTGCAAGTGTATCTATCCTTATCATCCGATGCTTGTGGGACTTCTGTTAAAGGGGAAGCTGTATCTTTTGGAGAATTAATATTATCTACAAACATCTGTCCCCGCTTCAAATATAGATAAGAGCATCTAGGGAAGTAATATGCGTGGACTGCCCATGCATTATCTCCTCTCTCCCAGTTTGATATAGTCCCATTGCAATTGAAACACCTAGTATGATCATATATTCTGGTATAAAAGAATCCAGCCTCAGCAAGTTCTTCCGATGAAATCGTATCATGAATGGGCCAGTTTGAGAAACTTTCAAGTCGCGCGTGCAATGATCTGAACTGTAGGTTCACTGGTTGAAAATAACGTCTTCGATTAGATGATTCTGAAAATGTTATTAACCTATTTCTTGTTGTACGTCTAGATACTCTAGGAAATCGACGGTTGGTTCTTTCAATTACTGGAAGATCGTTAGAGTTTTCATTTTCTGAAACCATATTAGATATTTCAGCTGTCAGATCATTATTCTCTGTCCTTGGGTAGTCATCAACTACATCTTCTCCTTCAATTTGGTTTATTACTATAACTCGATTTTCTGCAACGTTGTCTTCGGATTGAACAGTATGGTCATTCTGAACTACCCTTGATTCCTGGCTATCATAGTTGACCATGACCGTTAGTGGAGTATTTTCTTGTAGAACAACAGTTGATACAGCTCTTGGTATGTTACCACAGGGTAGACCTTGTATGAAAGGACAATCTGATGAATGAAGACAATGTTCAATCCAGTGTAGATCTTGTAAGAAGGAGGCGTGGTAGATATATCCACAGAAAAAACATTTAACTTGACGGGATATTCCTGTATAGTAAAAACCATCACGCGCTAGTTCTGTTCGATATGAAATCTCCGTTCCCCATGTTGATCTGAAAAAGCTTTCGTATCGAGCTTGCTCAGAAGCATAAGTATCTAAATTGTTACTTGCGTTAAGCATATTTGATTTTATCAAGAGAGGGAAAAAAGATACTTGAGATGTTGAATCTTTCGAGTTTGAAATGAAAGTGACGGTCAACAATACAAACATTTGGTATTTATATTCAAGTCTCGCTCTCTCTATACACGCGCATACTCATACTTACTTTGCGCATGTGTTGTCTCATTCTAGAACTGGTATTCACTGATACTTGTATTCCCCACCCCTAACAACTTTAGGCTCCTCCCATAACAGGCAATAGACACATCTTACTACTTACAGGGACTGACTTGGGGAGAGGAAAGACAAAAAGAGCTGTTTGATGAGGGATTGGAGAGAAAGAGTTATTCTCTCTCTCTCTTTTTCTCTCTTGTGCATGTAATGAAGATGATTTCAATTCCAGCAGATAAAAAATCAGAAGAATAAGTAACAGGATCAGTAACTCAGAGCCATCCCATCTTCATCTCTGTAGAACTCGGGAAAACTCATACTCGGAAATGCTCATGGTACTTATAAAGTACAATGATTGTTGATTTTAAAAAGAAGTTCTTCTTCCCCTTTTCCCTTTTATCTTTTAGTCAGTTCTCTGTTTACTTTTTCTCTCTCCCTGAATTTTTCACTCTTTTCTCTTCCTTATTCGTTTCAATTCGCTATTTTTTATCGATAATCTCAAGTGTATTAGTCTTACCAAACACTGGTAATGGATCGGGGATTTGTTGTGCAAGAATTTTTGGTAACATGGGGAAGGTAATGATGATGAAAGTAAAACTTAGAAGATTATAAGGAAAGAAGATGAAGATGTGATAAATTTCAAACGAAATTTTCAGAGTCTAAAGATGGAAAAGTGTGAAATAGGTGGAAAATAAAGAGAAACTGTCTTAAAAAAATGAAGACTCTTTTGATTCTGCTAACATTACATAATATACTGAGCCTATTACATTATTCACTATTCATTGTAGTTCTGATAAACTGTCATGCAATCGAGTTTCATTAGCTAAGAGAAATGAAATGTTCTGGAACTTCAATTAGAACCTTATTGGTCTCTTTGAAACTTTTCTTTCCAATCGAAATAACCACTGATAGTCTTTGCTAATTGATTGAATTTTATAGATGAAAATAACCGATCGAGAATTTTTTCTTTTGCATTTAATTTTATTCTAAAGTTCTTAATGAATACGAAAAAATCGTTTCTTCCAACTAATACCTGGAATTTAAGGGTCCAACGAATTTATGAGCTCACTAGTTAGAGTTTTTTTATTTTATTTCTTTTGAATATTCTCTTTACAGATTTCCATCATTTCAAGTGATCTATTCAATCAATTTGTCAGGAGGTTCGTTGTTGATGATCATTCACCTTAAAATTAACTGATTGCGTGCTGATTGTAACCATTGTCAGTAGAGCAAAAAAAATTAATGATCAACAAAAACGTCACAATTTAGTCATTTAATTTTCAATAAATTGTTCACTTTAATAGTTACCATGATGATAATGATGATAATTTATCAAGCAATTTAAATTCATGGTAATTGGATGTTACCTTTTCATTCATTTGTTGATGAGTTCAAATGTACTGGTATTAAGAAATGGAAATATAATGTTACCTGTATAATTAACTTTTCGAGTTCTAACAGATTCGAAAGATGAAATTAAAAAAGCAAAATGTTGGAGGAGTTTTAGAGAATAGCTTGATGAGAAAACAAATTTGACTCTAAATTCTTGGAATTGATGATATTATTTTTTTTCCATTTTAATACCATCAGCATGTATTCAGTTTCTTTCAGAATTTGTTTTTTTTTCTAAACTTTTGCTAAAGTTTTTTTTTCTCTTCTATGTTGCTGTATGTAGAAATAGAGAAGAGGATGGAGAAGAAAAAAATGTTCAGTTGAAATTCAATGACAGTATTATCATGATTTCAAGTATCTGGTGAATTGAACTGCAATCATTTTAAAACTTGAGGAGAAAAAAGTTCATCATCAGATGAAACCTTCATGGAAACACTGGTATGACAAAAAAAAAGATTCATTTAAATTTTATTTGAAAAAGTTCGAATATTGAAAGACAATTTGTTTACATGGACAATCGTTAAATTGATCAGGGTTGGAAAATGTTCAGATTACTTTGAGTTTCGATACCAAGAGCGATTCAGATTATCTTGTAATTGAGTTTGTTTCATGATATTTGAGTAAACAGTTTGTTTTCCTATTTTTTGCTACCTGAGTGTTTATATTATCATATTTGAGGTATTCACTGGCTTCCAGGTATTTATTTCAGAACTTTTCTTCAACCTCCCCTCTTTCCATCAATTGATTATCTTCAAATATGATATTTTATTATATAATATTAAAATATAATATTTGATGAGAATAAAATGTTTAGGTAAATTTTTCTTCCATAATATTTTATCTTCATCCTTTTCTGTATTCAAGTAGCATCTTTATTTTTTAGTTTCGATGTTACAATCAACTTACCTTTTTATCTAAAAGAGTGAAATAAAAAGAAAAGGAAAAAAATTGAGTTCGAAAACTTTTTTCTTTCCATTCTGTACTTTTCTTCTTCATCTTTTATCTCTATCACTTTTAACTTTTATATTCTTATTGTGATTATGTGAGTTTCCTAGAGAAAAAAAATAAGAGATGAAGATGAAAAAAGAGTTGGAACTTTTTTCTCTTACGCAACTAAAACTTTTTCATCTTCTCTTTACTTTTCCACTCCGAGCATCTCTCTCTCTCTCTCTCTCTCTCAAACTTTACAAGGAAGTAAAAGGTCACACATTTATGAGGAAGAAGAATAAAGCTCCATGTGCATATATATTCAGTGTGAACTTTTTTCTTCTTCTTCTCTTTCTGAGTTTATACCTAAAACATGAGAGGAAAAGATTGAGAGAAAGAAAAAAGTAAAGAGAAAAACAAAATATCCAAAATTGATGAGGAACCTGTTTACACTCCATATAATATTATCATCTCCATCCTCATTTCATCAACGTTACACATCTTCTTCTTCAACCTTCACCCCACCTTATCCACCTTTTCCTTTACCCTGCAAGCAGCTTCATTCAAATTCTGAATAAGCCTCATGTTACAAAATCTTGATTCATCTTTCTTATCGTTTTTCTTTGAAAATTTATTTTTAATCTTTCCCCTTTTTCTTTCTCCAAAGGTTAGAACTCATTGCAGCATAATTAAGAGAGGAGGAAAATTCTTTGGAAAAAAAAGTTCTTTTCTTATTCAGCTCAACGAAATTTTCGTTTCTGTTCTTTTTTCTCTCTCGAGAAAAGAGACTGAGCACTTTATCTTCACTTCCAATATATTCAAATGATGATGATGTTAATAATAATGATGATCTTCATGATGTTTCCTTAGAGCTTTTTTGCTTCTCTCTGATTCATTTAATTTTAGTTACTTTTTTCCTTCCCTTTATAATCTTTAGATTAAAAACTTTTCAGCCTTTAGAAATAAATTCACAACTATCAGTAGATTCAAACCCCAACTGAGTAGTATTTCATATTACTAATCCAATTAAGATAAGATATAAGCTTCTGAATCTATCATGATGACGGACTATCAACATTTTTCTTCGGGTATTTGTAAGTTTATTGAGATTGGGCGAAACGAAAACGAAAATTCTGGGCAAACATTTCGAGTTCATTGATATTACCCTGAATTTGGAAATGAAAACTAAACTTTTTACTTTGTATCATCTTCATCGTCATCATGATAACTATCTTCTTGTATCTAGTAGAAATGTACACATGCTGAGTTGTTTCAATGTTCACAAGTTTATTAGAGAGATGTTGAATTGAGTTGAACAGTTAAACTCACCCTGTGATCAGTTATCATGAGTTTAATTAAAAACTTTTCAATTTGTACAAAATTCAGACAGACAGATTATCTAGATGAATTAAACTCTAACTGTGAAACTTTAGTTGTTTTTCATTTAATTTAAACTTTCAAATGATTTCAAATGTACCTAAATATAAAAAACCTCAATCACATAAATATATCATGTATCATGAATTTGCTTTGAATAAAATGTTCAGATTTAGTTACTAATTAGTTTTTAAAGTTAATCAATCAGATGATTGTGTGAAATTTACAAAAGTTAAAAAAGAAACAAAGAAAAGTTAAAATTAGTATCCAATTAATTCATGGATTTGTTTTTAAATTTCTCATGAAATTCAATTCGATTGAGAAGGAGAAAAAAGTTCATGATGATTGAACCAAAATTAAATGCTACAACACGTATTGTTACAGTTTATTAATTGCAAACACTTAAAGTCAATCAATCAATCGATATGAATCTAAATTCATTCATGGGCCTCACTTTCTCTCTCTCTCTCTCACTCTCTCTCTCTTGCCTGATTTTCAGGGCCTTACTACATGCAAAGTTGATGGAAATGAAGGAGATGAAGAAAAAAATACTCAGGAATTTGAATTAACAACATTCGATTCATTATTGAGCTTCACCCACTTCTGTCATTGGAAATTCTGGATAAATCATTTGCTCAGTTCAGGCTGCAAAAAAGAAGCTTAGTTTTGTCCTACATACATGGTAACTTCATGGTAATTCAGAAATGTTGAAATGTCTCTGAAAAGAGTAGCAAAAAAGAATGACCTACATTTCGTCGGATCAGTAAAATAAATTGCAATTGATTGCGATTAACTATAACTTTCAAATACTTTTTTTGCTGTTGATTTCAAATTCCTAAAAATTCATACATGTAATTGTTTCAAGTTAATTAATCAATAAGTTGATGATGATGATCTCATGAAGTTGATGGCTTGATGATGAGCACTTGATGAGTTGTATCTACATTTTTTTATCACCATGAATTCAGAATCATCAACTTGAACTGAAAATTGCAACTTGAACGATTTCAAACATATTACAAGGTTCAGCATTAATATTTTCTCTCTCTCTCTCTCTCTCTCTCTCTCTCTCTCTCTCTCTCTCTCTCTCGTTAACAAATTACTCCAACAATTAAAATCTTACCTGTAACAATTTAACGTAATAATATTTGCAAAAAAGCTAAGGTAATAACAATTAATGATAATATTTACTGTATAATTATAAATACAAATTATGAGTAATTATTGTTACTTTTTTTCGTGTATCAAAAAAGGTTGGATACATACAAGGTAACCGGTAATGTGAATGGTCAACATAATGATAAGCTGAATGGAAAAAAAAGATTCACGATCTAAATTAAACGATTAGTTGACAACTTGATTAGGGTTTGGTCAG